AGAGGACCCTAGGGCCATCAAGGGAGAAAAGCACAAGCGGAATGCAGGACCTTATCCAGAGAAGCAGCTACACCAGAGATGGAGGCAGAGATGGGGACATGAAGAGAGGAAGCAGCTGAAGACTCGATACATGGAAAGAGAGGGACTGAGAGCTGACAGCCAGGAGGCAGACGTGCAGAATGTGCCCTTTGGTGGTGTGAATTATTATATAAGCCCGTGTTTAAAAAAAAATAAAAGTGAAAAAAGCTAAAATGAGTAGAGAGAAGTACTATTAACTGATGGCACATGGAGGGGATTATAATCATTGTAATGAAGCAAAGTACATGATTTGTTGAATGTAAAATGCTGATGATCTGCCCTGTAAACTTTCACTCATTTCACAAAAAAACTTAAAAAAAAAAAAAGTACAAGTTTTGCAACATAAAGGGAGGAGTAGTTAATCTTACAGTCTAGGAACAGAAAGACCATCAAGGGCATGAGTGGAATGTGGGACCCTAATCAGAAAGCAGCGACAGCAGAAATGGAGGCAGAAAAGATGACATGGAGAGATAGAACAGCTGAGGACTCTAGACTTGTGGAAAGAGAAAAGCTGTGTGCTGGTGGCCAGGAGGCAAGCTTAGAATGTGCCCTTGGTTTTTTTTTCAAAATGATTATATATTCCTGAGTGTTTTTGTGTACATCAAACAAAAAAACCCAGAGGGAATATAAGCAAATACTGTTGAATGATGATGCACAGAGTGGATTGTAATCACTGCAATAAAACAAAATACGGTAAAATGAGTGCAAAACCGATGTTATCCCATGTAAACTATTACTCCATTCACAATAAAAGCTTACAAAATATATATATTGAAAAGAAATATGGGGGGAGGAGAGACGGCAGAATCAATGACCTTTCAAACTGGAGTGTTTTAGTCAGACAGTAGTGATATTTTCTGCCTGGTTGACTGGCAGAAAGATTTGTTACGTGCCATCAAGTTGGAGAAAGATCAGTAATTCTAAAAGGTATGTGAGAAAGAGAACTAAAAGGGGTTTCATAAATGTATAATTTATGATAAAAGGCATTTCAAATGAAATTTTCTAAGAGTTTTAGTAAAGGACCCTGGTGGTGCAGTGGTTAAGAAATTGGCTGCTAACAGAAACGTCAGCAGGTCAAATCCACCAGCCACTCTGTAAGAGAACAACGTGCCAATTTGCTTCCACAAAGATTAGTCTCGGAAACTGTGGGGCAGTTCTACTGTGTACTACACAGGGTCACTGTGAGTAGAAACTGACTAGAAGGCAATGGTTTCTTTGTGTTCAGGCCATACCAGCCTCAAAGTATATATCTAGCTGCTAATGGCCTACATTTATCAACTTTGTCGTGTGTGCTTCGAGTCAGTTCCAGCTCATAGTAACCCTGCATAGGGTTCCCAAAAGGGGGTGGTGGGTTTGAACTGCCAACACTACAGTTACC